TCACCACCCTCTCCATCCCCTGTGTCCCCACCAAAATGGCAGCGCTCCACTGCTGCCAGCTCCTGTTCGAATGCTTGTTCGCACTCCGATTGTCTGTTTGTCAGAGAGACAGACAGACTTCGGTTTGTATAATATATATATATATTTTTTTTTAAATAAAAAGACTCTACCAGAGCACTTCCACTGCCGTCCCTTAATGGGTGGTAGCAATAATGAGACAAGCCATCTGCTGTAAATGGTGTTTTACCCACTTTGTTAGTTAGACATTCTGGATGGGGTCTGATGCCAGTAGTTAAAGTAACCACAGCCAGTCTACTCTACAGCTGTTTCCTTACCATTATCCTTACCTTGAGAAAAAGTTAATCATACAAACAGTGATTTCATTCCACCTTCCCTAACTTGTTTGTTAAAGCCACAGCCAGTAAGAGATTGATTTCATAGATGCCTTATGCCACAAGAGCACTTGTATAAGTATTAAAATCCAAGGAGCGTGGATATGGTTACTATCGTCGGTAAGTGAAGTGACCTTTGCAGGTTGATTGAGAAAACAAACAAAGAGGAAGAGCACAAAAGTTCAAGGTAGAATCTTAAACAAATTCTGTATCAGACCTCTTTGTTGAGCACAAAAATTATTTTAAAAAGTTTTAGTAAAGTTCGCCACTGTAATCTTCTTACATTAGGCTTCAGACAGCGTGGTATAACAAGAGCTTACAAAAACTACAACATTCAGCTCTCTGAACATGTCTTTTCTTTCAAGTTACTGATACTCACAGAAGAACTGCTGTTTCAGAAGAGATTAACAGTTAAAAACAAAAAGAAACCTCTCCGGTATTAGTCGAAAAATTAGCATACCATAAAGAGAAAAGCAGATCTCTTCCAACTAACAGACTGGATTTGTGAAACAAAAGAAGTTCTCTTTTCCTCACCCCTAAAAGATTTAGGAGTTCTCACTTAAAAATACAGAACAAAAACCTAAGCCTATACAGTAAGATAAGATTAATAAGTGGATATATGAAACAAATCGGTCACTGTCTTCAGGTTTCTTTGTCCTTGAATTCACTAATCTTTTAACCATAGGAATTTGATCTGTTTCAGTGCCAATACTCTGCATTTCACCTGCTAAAGACTAAGATGACTTGAGATTTAAGAGGAAATCACAAATTGACAAATACAAGCCCCTGTTGTAATTACTATTTTATGCCAACTCTAAATACCTAAACAATTTTAACTTGTTTTTCGTTCTGTTCTTTGCAGTAGTTTCTTTCATAACTAATTTTTCACCTTCCTTTGGGGGTGAAAAAAAATTGGACTGGACAGCAGATCAGGCATGTTTATATTTTAAATTTGGATTTCTAGTTTGCAGCTACAG